TATTCGCCAATTTGCTTTGAGTAGCGCAGTTCTCATTACTATTTTATCAAAGAAGCACTTTTTTATTTATTCAAGCAATATTTATTCAAATTTTTTCGAGCTGCTTACTATGGCAGTCAAAGAGAAAATTGTACTAAATCCATCTAGAATCCTTGTTACCATATTTTCTGTAATTATCACCCTGATAGCCTGTTTTGCACCTGACTATTCTTAAACTGCGATATGCCTGACGGCATTATTCTTTATAAAAATTGCGATATCACTTACCCGTGCGAAAATAGTCCAAAGGGATGAGAATATAACACGTACACTACCGATTCGTCCTTTCCGGAATTATAAGTATCATGATAGACGAGGAACTTATAATAAACGATGTAATAATATTCTGTTATAGCGAATAACAGAGAAACAGAGCACGATGGTGTGCTCGCCAACGCACAGCTGGTTCCCCTCTGTTTGCGCAATCCTTTTTAATGCATATACTTATAGTATTGCTCGAACCGTTGATCAATGAACGGGCTAGAAACATCATTGTAGACAACGGAAAACTTCCATCGGAGATTAAAAGCGTATCAAATTTTCGACAACCGTCATCTTTTTATAAAAATTTGTAATGAGTTGTTTATAATATTTTTGTTCGTCGCGTTTCTATAACTTCTAAATCGCAATTACACTATCTTGAAAAAATGAACGGTAGTGGCAGGATCATCAAGTTGCTCTTACGAAAGAACTTTCCTCAGACGAATGAATCCGTCTTGCCAGTACATATAATTTTCAAACGTATAATTTCAACAAGTATAATCCAGATGAAATGCCCGATGTTTCTGAGAAATGATATTGTTTAACATTTGATATACGCAAGCGCTATGATGCCCATAAAATCGAAACCCATCCCCTCTGCTGGTTACGTGTATCCAGTCACGTTCGAGCATTCGACCATGGATAACTGGTATCAGACAGAAAAGGCGGAGCAAGGTTTCAAGTATGCTACGAGCCTCGTGAAACCAATTTTAACTTTCCTCGGCGTTTGGCCTCTCCCACCTGACTCACACCTGTCCTCAAAAATTATACAAAAGATCGCACAATTTGTCGCATACTTTTTATTCTTTTTCATGCTGACACCAACTTTCCTGTATACAGTCCTAAAGGAGAAAAATCCGAAAGTGAAAATGAAACTTCTCGGTCCGCTAGTTCTGTGCGGCATGCAGGTGCCTAAATACACTATTCTCCTGTATCGATCAAAGGAAATTCAGGAGAGTTTAAAAGCGATTAAACGTGACTGGATTGCCGCGACCGAGGAAAATCGACTGATTTTCCTCGAGAAGGCGAAAACCGGTAGAAGTATAGTGTTGACCGTCGCGATTACCATTTATGGCGGTGGACTATGCTACCGGACGATCATACCCCTTCTCAAAGGGCCGATTACGCTACCTGATAACACCACCATAAGACCCTTACCTTTGCCCTCGTACTACGTAATTTTTGACGCTCAGCAATCTCCAAACTACGAGATAATCTTCGTGATGCAAGTCCTGTCCGGATCTATACTTTACTCGGCCATCACCGGAACATGCGGAATCTCGGCAATCTTAGTTCTTCACATTTGCAGCTTGTTAAGGATTCTGGCGAACAAAATGAAACAGCTTGCAGAGAACGACGACATGACCGAACGGGAAGTGCAGCGAAGAATCACAGATATCGTGAACTATCAGACGAGCATAAAACAGTAAGTGAGTTCATTCAAAGCTGTGTTTCGGTCCTACTACTGACGATTTACGTCGGAATATACGACGCTTATACGATTAGATAACCAAACGTGAGTTCGAATTATACTGATTAGCAGTGTAACAATTTCAATATACAACATCAATCCTCTCGACTACATTTCATAATTCAGTAAATAATTCATATTAGTACTACATTGATTACAGATTTTCATACAACATTCAAAAAATTACAGAATACATTTGTCTAAGCGAAATTCTAGGCGGTACGACTATGATGTGCCTCGGCGGATATTACATTCTCTTGGTATGTGAAAGTTATTCTTAAAGCATATTCAGAAATATAACACCGACATGACACACTATGATACAGGAGCTGGATAATAATAATACCACGATAATGGTGGTCTACCTCACTCTGGAAATATCTTGTACTTTTTGTGTTTTCATACTCTGTTACATCGGCCAGCTTCTTCTCAATGAAGTAACATGCTTTCATTTAACATTTATTACAAACTGTAAAAACTCTGAATATATTTATTATTCTAAATACTTTCTGAAAGAGTCAGATCGTGGGTCAAGCATCTTGTACGGTGAATTGGTATCGACTTCCGATGAAACACGCGCGTTCGTTAATATTGTTAATCGTCGTGTCGAATTACCCGATGAGACTCACGGCTGGAAAGATGGTAGAGATGTCCCTGGGTACTTTTACAAGCGTAAGTATTACATACAAATTCTAACTTACACGTACCGTATGAAAAACAATTTCCAGATCTGCAAATTGTCAATGGGATACTTGAACATACTGCGGGAAGTCGTATAAAACTTTCATCCGTCGTGAATAGTGCGTGACACGTTACTCCTCACTAGAAATTGGAAACATGTATCTCCGATGTGAAGCCGTTCTCATTTTTTAAATAAAAGCTAGTATTAACAAAGGAACAAATCGTTTCCAATCCATCTCACGCACTCCGCTTCATATATTACTTACACTTCACCTTTCGAGGAATTGTCAACCGTGGCATTAAAAGAGAAAATTGTGTAAACTCTTTCCAAGGTTTCTACAGTGTACCATATTTTCTATAACTGCTATCCTGATGTCCCGATGCATACACGATAATCATAGTCTGCCTTCAGTTCTGCGCATTTCTCCGGCGCTTTTGAAGTAAGCATATCATTATGTCGCATTTCAGTCGAACTAAGTTCAAACCCCATCGAGAAACAATAATTTTCAACTGAAATACGTACACAGTATCAATTTACCCTATACCCATTTTGTCTTACGAGCGCAAGCGCAGGACTCGCTGACCAGTCTTCAGCGGCAGTCGCAAAGGCTCTTTCGCCAAGTGACATTCAACGATGAGCATGAATAAACTCAATGACACGAAGAATTTCCTTAACGAGAATTATAAAAAAGATCGGGACTTCAATGTCCGCTTGAACGTATGGACGTTGAGAACAATCGGCACTTGGCCAAAATCTAAAAACCGATCCTGGCTAAGAACGATCGAACAGTTCCTTCTGAGGCTCGCTTGTTACGTCCTGCTCCTGGCTATTCTCATTCCCGGAGGTATTAACGTGATCTTCGAGAGCAAGGATTTTTACAGCCAATTAAGGCTCAGCAGCGCTCTGAGCTTTTTCGTGATGGCGATTATCAAGTACTGCGTGCTGATCGCTCGCGAGGACGACATATACAGGTGCGTGAAATACATCGAGGACGACTGGAAGAATGTGAAACACTGGGAAGATCGTAAGATTATGCTGGACAATGCGAGTTTTTGTCGTCGAATAATCGTAATTTGCGGCTTCTTTATGTACGGCAGCATGGTCTTCTATTACATAGCATTACCGCTTACGCGAGCGAAGATAATCGAAGAGGGTGGCAATTTGACGTACAGGCGGCTCGTTTACCCTTTTCCGAGAGTCCTACTCGACGTCCGTCACAGCCCCGCCAATGAAATCTTTTATACCATTCAATTGTTTTCGGGATTCGTCGCTCATAATATTACGGTAGCTGCTTGCGGTCTAGCTGCCCTACTCGCCATGCATGTGTGCGGACAATTGCAGGTTTTGATGGCCTGGTTAGAGAACTTGGTCGATGGGAGGGAAAAGGACGACCAGTGTCTAGACCAAAGGCTGGCTAGTGTCGTGGAACAACACGTTCGGATAGTTAAGTAAGATCAACTATTAGTTAATATTTAAACCACACTGTAGCTGCAATTCAAGAGACGTAGATAGATAAACACTCCTACGACCGTAACTTGAAAAAAAGAGAGAAAATTATAAAGATTCGTGGATACTGAAATGGAGTTTCTCGAGAATGTCTTGTTTTTTAAGATTGTTTATTGTGACATTTCAGTTTTGTAGCTCACATGGAGAATCTCTTACGCGAAATATCGCTAGTAGAAGTCGTGGGCTGTACTATAAATATGTGTTTCCTAGGATACCATACAATGATGGTATGAGTTTACGATTTAAGTAGATTTAATGTATTTAATATCCTGATACGGACCTTTTTCAGGAATGGGATCCTAAAGAACCTGTTAGTGGATTGACATTCATAATATTACTTATATCCGTCACGTTCAATATTTTTATATTCTGTTACATCGGCGAGCTATTATCACAAGAGGTTCTTTCTTTAAGTTAAAATAACAGTCTGTCCTATTGTGTCATCTTCAATGTGTATTGCATTACAGGCAGTGAAAATTGGTGATAAATCTTACATGATTGATTGGTATCGAATGCCTGTGAAGAAAAGCCTCGCTGTGTCTCTGATAATTTCGATGTCCCGCTCGACTACGAGGATCACTGCTGGCAGTATCATCGAGCTTTCCATTAGCAGCTTCGGTGACGTAAGTGTTACACGTATTTTGATTTCTCGCACCGTCCAGCAATTACCAATTTTTATTATAAACTTTCGCCAAACGTGACAGGTCGTCAAGACTTCAGTCGCGTACTTGAACATGCTACGACAGTTCACAGACTAGGCATTTCTCAAATGGTTTCACACCATACAACTGGCAGTATTGAACGTAAAATTCTTGTAGCATAGAAGATGAAATAAAATTGTTGTACAGCACACACTCGAACTTGTCCAGAAAGGGAATTAATTCTGATCTGAATAAAAATTTACCTTTTGCTTATATTACATAATTACAGTTACCAATCCTATCCTCTGTTTTACATATTGTAAATAATGTGATAGATTTTACGAATTTCACATAAAAATATGTTCGACTGTTAAAGCACTTGGCCTATTTTTCCAAATGTGTGATCATCTTGGTGTTAATATTCTTGCACCCACAGAAAATCAAATGAAAGGAAGCATTTTTCCAGAAATCGATTACTTCGTGTACGACGGGAAATTATTGTGGAGTTGAAATAAAGAGAATAAGTTCTCAATGTTTTATATTCAAACGATCAGTATAGTGGCTAAGGCCCGAATGAATGCCACGCCTCGTCGAACGAAGCAACCCCAGTCTCTCAGTCCTAGTCTACTCTTATCCTCTAGAACTCTAGACAGACTAAACACTTGGTTTAAGGAAGCCATGACGCCATGCATGGTGTGATCCCTCGATTGACATTATACAGCCTGCTTTCAGTATCCCTTACACTCATAAATTGATTAGCAATTCAGCATGCAAACTTTGAAAATCGAGTTGTCGATGTTTCACTGTTATTATTCTATTTTGATCGCACATAATGCATAAAGGACTGAACTAGTCGGAAGGGTGAAACTAAATGCAGATCGCACGCCACACTTGCCTTTCCCCTAGTGCAGCCGGAAACTGCAAACGGGCGCCATCGCATTATTATTTTTCCCTTCGAACTGATATTAGTAATCATTTAGTCGCGATCGTGTTTTCAAGGGTCAACGATGCAAACCTCAGTAACCGATAGTGAACACCGAGCTCCGAGCGAATACAATTATCGACAAAACTTTAATCTGAGCATTCAATGGTCCCGTTTATTATTAAAACTTATTGGTCTTTGGCCAAACTCACATATGGCACCAAAATTACAAAAATACTTTTCCCGGTTCATAAATGTCGTAATCTACAGTCTAACAGCGTTCCGTTCGATTCCCATGGCTATGTACGTATTTCTTGAAATAAAAGATCCTTACATAAAGTTGAAACAATGTGGCCCCCTAATCTTTGGCTTGATATCGTTCGCGAAATACTCTTCTATGATGGTCCACGGAGCTGAGTGCGTGGAGCGAATTAAATGGGACTGGAAGAACATTACTTTCAGCGACGATCACGATATCATGCTGACAAACGCAAATTTCGGCCGGAAGATAACAATTCTATGCACACTTTTTACGTATAGTGGCTGTGTATTCTATAACGTGGTCATACCGTTAACCACTGGCAAAATTACAAAGGATAATCTCACCTACATTCCCCTGGTGTACCCTTTCTCATCGTATATAATTGACACCCGGTACAGTCCGGCAAACGAGATTGTCTTTTCTATTCAATTACTGATCGCCTTTGTGGGACACACGACTGGCGTAGCCGCTTGCGGTCTGGCAGCCTCCTTGGCAGCCCACGTTTGCGGCCAGATTCAAGTCTTGATAAATTGGCTTAATCATTTGGTCGACGGCCGATCCGATATGGACGACAACGTGGACCGTAGAATAGCGAGGATTGTGTCCCAACACGTTCGAATTCTGAAGTGTGTATACATACAATTATATTTATTCTTTTTACTTCATGAAATAGCAATAATTATTTCTTATAATGTCTAATATCTATTTTAGTTAGTTTTTCATGTTATCCGATGTCGTGTTTTTATGCGCCCATGATATATTTTTGATTTTATGTATGTATAGTCCTGTCTCTATCTTAATGGGATCGCTTCGTCTCATTTATAAGCATGCAGCGTCCCCACTCTCGAACGTTTTCGAAATTCAAACAACTCCCTGTCAATAAGGCCGGTTGGTTCTTACCTGCCAAGTACATAAGTACGAGCGATCCTATTGACAGGCAACAATTGTAAATTTTATGACGTCGAAGGGTATCAATGGCGGAAAATCCTATTTCTTGGGAAAATTTTACAACTCCTATTAAGAGAGAGAGAACTGTAGGTTTTGATGTATAAGATTAGAGAAGATCATATAACGCTCATGTACAAGAATCCCTGTACATTGTTTTCATTCATAGATATTTTTTATTTTCTATCACTGTTGATTCAATAAGAAGTACTGGCCATTTCAGTTTTTTAACGCTCACAGAACAAACGCTGCAACAAGTGACATTCGCCGAAGTTTTGGGCCGCATATTGGACATGTCTCGTTGGATATTACGTAATCATGGTAGGATTTTTCTGAATCAGTTATAATGTTTTCAAACTCCTTAATGTTATGATGTTTAACATTAAAGGAATTCATTGAATTAAAAAGTGTCATAACTTACGTCAGCTTACTCATATCGCTGACGTTTAGCATTTTCATATTTTGCTACATAGGCGAGATAGTGACCGAGAACGTAAGTTTCTTATAAAGTTCAGAATTGTAGGATGACATTCGATTAAAAAATACGTGGACAATAAGCAGAGTGTAACAGTGCAGGAAAATCGGTGAGATGATCGAATGGTATCAATTGCCACGAAAGAAGAAACTCTGCTGCGTTATGATAATAGCGATGACCAATTCTACGGCATCATTAACGGCCGGGAAGATGGTGGAATTAACTATCAACACGTTTGCCAATGTAAGTATTATAATGATTTTTCTATCCGTAAGCAGTAACTGAATTTTTTTAACGATAACAGGTTATTAAGACTGCGGTCGGTTTTTTGAATGTGTTACGAGCAACTACATAAGTTTGTTTCAAAGACAATGTTATTTATAATCTGTTGATGTGACTGCGGTGAAGGAACCAGTACTGTTACACATAAAGAACAGTTATTGAGTGTGAAAAATATATTACACAATTCTTGGGACATTTCAAGTATCACGCGTAGAGAACTGTTTAAAAATGGATTTGCGCTGCATTGTGCTGCTTAATTCCTATATACATATATTGTATTTTGGAGTACTTACCCCTGTACCCAACCACAATTAAATGTCCGACATACAAAAGATATTAAAAAAAAATACTATCTGAGTTTATGCACGAATGATTGTAAACACTAAAAGAAATGACATGTAGTAATTTTGTTGTATATATGTTTGTAACATGGAGGTAGAATAAACGTAGCAAATGCACCTGCATGGTATCTACGAATCGATCACCTCATAAATTGATTAACCCGAAACGTAATCTTCTCGAATCGCGAACTTTGAACATTAAGCTCCCGATGTTTTACCGCTATTACTCTACTACGTTCACTCATAATCCATGAAGTGAAAACAACTGAACTGATCGGAAGGGTGAATCTAACAGTAGCAAATCGCTTTTGCCTGGTCCCTGCTGGCGACAAGAATTACAAGCAAGCGCAAGCGCGACATTATTATTCCCGGCAAACCGGCAATACTGAACAGCAGTTAGTCTTGGTTATGCGCTTAAGCATCAAGGATGCATCAATCAATAACTGACGACAATCATCCACCTTCGGTCAAATACGATTATCAACAACACATTGATCTAAGCATTCAATGGACCCGTCGATTACTGAAACCGATTGGTCTTTGGCCAAGTTCACATGCGACACCAAAATTACAAAAATACTTTTTTCAGTTCATAAACGTTGCATTTTACGGTCTTATAGCATTCCGTTCTCTTCCCATGGCTATCTACATATTTCTTGAGATAGAAGATGTGTACAGTAAACTGAAACAATGTGGTCCCCTAATCTTTGGCTTGATATCGTTCGCGAAATACTATTCCATGATCGTCCACGGGGCTGAAATTCGTGAGTGCGTCGAGCGAATTAAATGGGACTGGAAGAACATTACTTTCAGCGACGATCGCGATATCATGCTGACGAACGCAAATTTCGGCCGGAAGATGACAATTCTCTGCACACTTTTCACGTATAGTGGCTTTGTATTCTATAACGTGGTCATACCGTTTAGCATTGGTAAAATTACAACTGAGGATAATCTCACCTACATTCCCCTGGTGTTCCCTTTCTCGTCGTATATAATGGACACCCGGCACAGTCCGGTGAACGAAATTGTCTTTTCCATTCAATTAACGGCCGCCTTTGTGGGACACACGACTGGCGTAGCCGCTTGCGGTTTGGCAGCCTCCTTGGCAGCCCACGTTTGCGGCCAGATCCAAGTGTTGATAAATTGGCTTAATCATTTGGTCGACGGCCGATCCGATATGGACGACAACGTGGACCGTAGAATAGCGAGGATTGTGTCCCAACACGTTCGAATTCTGAAGTGTGTATACATACATTTATATTTATTCTTTTTACTTCATGAAATGGTCATAATTATTTCCTATAATGTCTAATATCTATTTTAGTTAGTTCTTCATGTTATCCGATGTCGTGTTTTTACGCGCCCATGGAAGACTGATATTTTTGATTTTATGTATGTATAGTCCTCTGTCTCTATCTTAATGGGGTCGCTTCGCCTCATTTACGCTCATGCAGCGTCTCTACTCTCGAACGTTTTCGAAATTCAAACAACTCCCTCTCAAACAGGCCGGTTGGTTCTTACCTGCCAAGTGCATAATTACGGGCGATCCTATTGACAGGCAACAATTTAAAATTTTATGGTGTCGAAGGGTATCAATGGCGGGAAATCCTATTTCTTGGGAAAATTTTACAACTCCTATTAAGAGAGAGAGGGAGAGAACTGTAGGTTTTGATGTATAGGATTAGAGAAGATCATAGTATAACGCTCATGTACAAGAATCCCTGTACATTTTTTTCATTCATAGATATTTTTTATTTTCTATCGCTGTTGATTCAATAAGGAGTACTGGCCATTTCAGATTTTTAACGCTCACAGAACAAACGCTGCGACAAATGTCTTTCGCCGAATTTTTGGGCTGCACATTGGATATATGTCTCGTTGGATATTACGTAATCATGGTAGGACTTTTGTGGATTGAGTATAATGTACATTCAAACTTCTTAATGTTATGATATTTAATATTACAGGAAATCAATGACTTAAAAACTGCCATAACTTATGTCAGCTTACTCATATCGCTGACGTTCAACATTTTCATATTTTGCTACATAGGCGAAATAGTGACCGAGAACGTAAGTTTCCTATAAAGTTCAGAATTGTAGGATGATGTACCATTAAAAAATATGTGGACATTAAGAAAAGCATGACAGTGCAGGAAAATCGGTGAGATGTCATACATGATCGAATGGTATCGATTGCCAGGAAAGAAGAAACTCTGCTGCGTTATGATAATAGCGATGTCCAATTCCACGGCATCATTAACAGCCGGGAAGATGGTGGAATTAACTATCAACACCTTTGCCAATGTAAGTATCATAATGATTTTTCTATCCGTAAGCAGTAACTGAATTTTTTTAACGATAACAGGTTATTAAGACTGCTGTCGGTTTTTTGAATGTGTTACGAGCAACTACATAAGTTTGTTTCAAAGACAATGTTATTTATAATCTGTTGATGTGTCTGCGGTAGAGGAACCAGTACTGTTACACATAAAGAACAGTTATTGAATGTGAAAAGTATTTCACACAAATCTCGACACATTTCAAGAATCACACGTAGAGAAGTGTTTAAAAATAGATTTGCGCTGTATTGTGCTGCTTAATTCCTATATACATATATTGTATTTTGGAGTACTTACCCCTGTACCCAACTACAATTAATCGTCCGACACACAAAAGATAATAAAAAAAATACTATCAGAGTTTATGCACGAATGATTTTAAACACTAAAAGAAATGACATGTAGTAATCTTGTTGTACATATTTTTGTAACATGGAGGTAGAATAAACGTAGCAAATACACTCGCGTGGTGTCTACGAATCGATCACCTCATAAATTGATTAACTGGAAACGTAATCTTCCCGAATCGCGAACTTTGAAAATTAAGCTTTCGATGTTTTACCGCTATTACTCTACTACGTTCACTCATAATCCATGAAGTGAAAACAACTGAACTGATCGGAAGGGTGAATTTAAAAGTAGAAAATCGCTTTTGCCTGGTCCCTGCTGACGACAGAAATTACAAGCCAGCGCAAGCGCGACATTATTATTCCCGGCAAACCGATATTGCTGAGCAGCACAGTCTTGGTCGTACTCTTAAGCATCAAGGATGCATCAATCAATAACCGACGACAATCATCCACCTTCGGCCAAATTCGATTATCAACAACACATTGATCTAAGCATTCAATGGACCCGTCGATTACTGAAACCGATGGGTCTTTGGCCAAGATCATATACGACACCAAAATTACAAAAATACTTTTTTCAGTTCATAAATGTTGCATGCTACGGTCTTATGGCATTCCGTTCCCTTCCCATGGCTATCTACATATTTCTTGAGATAGAAGATGTTTACGGCAAACTGAAACAATGTGGTCCCGTAATCTACGGCGTGATGTCGTTCGCGAAGTACTCTTCCATGATCGCCCACGGGGCTGAAATTCGTGAGTGCATGGAGCGAATTAAATGGGACTGGAAGAACATTACTTTCGGCAACGACCGCGATACCATGCTGACAAACGCGAATTTCGGCCGGAAGATGATAGTTCTGTGCACACTTTTTACGTATAGTGGTTTCGTATTCTATAATATGATTATACCAATTAGTATTGGTAAAATTACAACTGAGGATAATCTCACCTACATTCCCTTGGTATTCCCTTTCTCGTCGTATATAATGGACATCCGGCACAGTCCGGCGAACGAAATTGTCCTTTCCACTCAATTAACGGCCGCCTTTTTGGAGCACTCGATTTCCGCAGCTACTTGCGGTTTGGCAGCCGCCTTGGCAGCCCACGTTTGCGGCCAGATCCAAGTGTTGATAAATTGGCTTAATCATTTGGTCGACGGCCGATCTGATATGAACGACAACGTGGACCGTAGAATAGCGAGGGTTGTGTCCCAACACGTTCGAATTCTGAAGTGTGTATACATAAATTTATATTTATTTATTTTTTATAATTATTTCCTATAATGTCTAATATCTATTTTACTTGGTTCTTCATGTTATCCGAAGTATTCTTAGCATTGATCATGGAGGACTGATATTAGTTTTTGATTGTGTAGTCCTCTCTTTCTCTATAGCCCGTCTTAATGACCCGCTTCCTCTCATTTACGATCAGTCTGGTTGCTTCTTACCTGTCAAATGCATAATTACGAGAGGTCCTATTGAGAGGCAACAACTTAAAATTTTATGGTATCTAAGGGTATCGAAGGCGGGGAATCCTGTTACTTAGAAAAATTGTATAGCTGAAACGGCAACATTTTTGAGAGAGAGGGAGGGAGGATGTAGTTTTTGTAGTGTTAGGAAAGGTCATACAAGTCTCATGTACAAAAACTCCTGTAAATTCCTCATTCCTTGATGGATATTTTTGATTTTCGAAATACTGTTGACTCAGTAAGAAGTGTTGGTCATTTCAGATTTTTAACGCTCACAGAAAGAACGTTGCGACAAATGTCTTTCGCCGAATTTTTGGGGTCCACGGTGGACATATG